TGTAACTCCGTGACTTCCTGCTCTGGAGTCTAAGTTTTCACCAGAAGGATGTTTCCTTTTTTTTATGGTTTTAAGTGAAATTAGTGGAGCCAAGTATGCCTGACAGAGAGACCCGGTGAGTTTAATTAAAGAAAGAAGTAGCAGTCTCTCTGGGCTGAGAGGCTATAGATCTCTCCACATGGAAACTGACATTAAACTACCAGTTCACAAAAATTAATAGCAATCATTTCATTCATTAATATGTTTATTTGCAACAAAAATGACATTTCTTCCATTATTTGGATTCCTTTGCTTTCCGTTTGGTTTGAAATTTGGGTAGGGCACAGGTGTGCATACAATTTGTGAATTAAGCTCCTCAAATTCCCAAAGAAATAATTTCCAGAACGAAGTAATGGAAAGCATGAACAAGTGAAAGCGTCCCATCTGCTGCTAGTTACACTTTCCATATTTGACAAACGCAATATGAGGGCCGAATTCCCTAAAAAAAAAAGAGAGAGAGAGAGAGAAAGTTCGTTCCTTAAGGGAAGAGGACATTGCTCTTAAACGTGCTTTTGCTACCTTCTAAATGAAGTCCTAAAGTGGAGGATGATTCTGTTAGTATTCAGGCATCTGTACTGGCCTGCCCTTGGGGTTCTGACAGGATATGTCCTCAGCTGTAGCCACTGAGAACGCCTCCTGTGCACATTCACTATGTTCCCTTTTTAAAAGAGCTCTCCCAACCCCCCTCTGTCTGTCTGTCTGTCTGTCTGTCTTTCTCTCGTCTTCTCTCTCCCTTCTCTTTTCTTCTGCCACCCCTGTCCCTAAAGACTTGTCTCCCACCCTCCCTTCCCTCTTTTTACATTCTCCCTTCCCTAATAAAAACCCCTCCATGTGAATCCTGTTGCCTGGCATCTTTCTCTCTTGCAGCGCTTTTTAAAAATTACAACAGCTTCTACAATTCCATGTGTACCCATCTTGTCCATTCTTGTTACCATGTCATATTTCACACATGCCTGATCTATGTGTTGATTACTCAAAATGTGTCATGAAAACTTTCAATATAGTGTTTTGTATCTTGATGCATAATAGAGTAAAAGAAATACATGAATTATATTTTGCTTTGAACTTACCACCGATCAATGCAAAAGAAGCACTCATTCTTGTAGGTTAAACCATTTGTAGCACAAACAAATGCTACCACATCTGGACAGCTTGCTTCATAATCAGGATCTATTGGGTAATACATTTTGCATGGGGGCTGGAAACGTAAACATGACAAGAATAAGAGTTTATTTTTGCCCATTTATCAGTTACCTTTCACTTCTAACCCACATAGCAATAATATTAAATCCTACTAGGTGAACATTTAAGGATTTCCTGTCTTCTAAACTTCCATCAGGTGAGTTTTTTGTTTCTACTTTTCTTATGCAGTAACTCCATGTACAACATAGTTACTTCAATGATAATTATCGAAGAATCCCTGCTAAACCCCAAGTATGCAGTTTTCCTTTGAACTTGCCTCCATTCCAGTATGCTATTGTATAAGAAATTAATGAGTAAATTATTAGTCATTATGTGTTTGTGAACTTAGGGCAGGATTACCACATAGTTGGTAAGAATGAGAGCTGTCTATGGAGACTAGAGATACATGATGTTTGTGGCTGAGCAAGCAATGGTTGTAATTTCATTAAATGCTCAGCAATATCTAATTGGTGTGGGTTTTGTTGTTGCACTGTAACACTTGCTAAACCATGTTAGTGTGTATGTTACAAGAGTTATGCTACCTGGGAAGAAGTCCACCCTGGAGAGATTAAGATGTGTGTCCAAGCAAGGACAGGGGAAAATCTGTCAATGCGCGTCACCTCTGTGGAGTCTTAGACACCTTTGAGGAGAGTGATCCGGGCGGAAGAAGAATATAGAATTGAAAATTGAGGCTTACCTTAGGCCATCTAGAAGGGTTACGTGAACTGACAAGTTCTGCAAATAAAGCACGAACACACTGAGTTAGAAGAACTAGTGTATGATGGGATGCAACCTCACCCACTAGCCACTTACTCGTAAAGCCATGGAAGAAAATTTACAGAATTTATAGGTGGTACTCCTTTGTGGACTGCTTTATTTATTTATCTGCCTATCTATCCTATATATAATTTTCAGAGCTCATACTTCATTTGCAAATTGCTACGTCATTGAGGAAAAAGTACTGGGCTGAGTGAGAAGCTACAGAGAGCGGGTCTGGCATGTATGAAATGCTGGGTTCCATCTCCAGCATTGCAATAAGTAAATTAATCAGCTAAATAAAGACAATTTGGAGTTGTATGACTTATAATGTTATTTGTAACAGTAAGTTTCCTGTTCTACAATTAGAATAATTATATGCATTTTCAGACTTCTATTAAATTACATGTGATATAGAAGTAGTGTATTACTGCAGGTCCTGCTTGGATGCTAAATTAATATGGGTCCACTGATTGATGACAAGGAAGTAGAACAAGCACCCAGCTTTCAGGAGACTGGCTCTGAGAACAGGTTTTTGTTAGATGATCTTGGTGCCTACAGATAGAGAACAACTGTGAGAGAAAGAACGAAGATGGGCTGACTCAGGTGGTTTAAAAATACCATAGGGTAGCTTAACAAGGAGCAATATTCCTAAATTACAAACTATGCCTCAGAATTTAGGACTAGAAGTATATCTCAATAATAGAGTATTAGCACAACATGTAAGATGTCCTGAGCTCACTAATAAATAAAGGCAGTTTCTCTTTGGATGGATACCTTGATCAGCCTAGATATGGTGGGGAGCACTTTGGGTAACTCCCTGAGGCATGGAGAGAGGGTGGGGTGTGGTTGGGAAGATGGTGGAGGGAAGAGGAGGAGAGGAGGGGTGAAACTGGGATTGGTATGTAAAATGAAAAAAGAGATAACTTGTTTTCTTTTTAAAAATAAAAGAAAAATAGAAAAGAAAAAAGAAAAAGTCAATTTCAGAAGAGACAATATGAATACATATATAACTATGCACACACAAACCCAATGAAGACACAGAAGCAAAATCTTAAAAAGATACTCCACTTAATTCATGATGAGTTGTTTAAAATCACACTCAAAAGCCACTTATGACCTATTGTGTCTGCTGCTGAGAAAGAGGTATTTTCGCGCTTTTCTTTCTTCAAAAGCATTCGTTTATGAAGAGGGAAGTTGTCAATATTGGGCCAAATTACATTTGAATTTTTATTTAACTCGTCACTCCCAGTTCAATGAATTTCTTTTAAAGATGTATCTCTGACAATACAAAACCTCATGTGCATAATATTATTTCTTGAAGCACCATTTGCTGTTACACACTAAGATTCATCTACTCCAGTAGAACAGTTGTCAAATGGTTTGCTGCGTCTACTCAGTGAAGTTCTACATAATTGGATGATAGAAAGAAAGTTCCCTGTGAACTATGATCTCTTGACCTTCCAAGATTCAATAGAAGTAGGAAAAAGTAAGTTGTAAATAGACATCTATAGTATGCCATCTTCATGTAGGCAGCAAGAGGATAATGATGTGTAAATATTGTTTGGATGAAAACACAGGAAGCCCAGAGAAGAGGACGGTGTGTGATTAGAGCAGAAAGGATAATGGGACTGTGCAATGTTAATTCTTTTTTTTAATTTTGCTTTCATTAAAATTGATTTCAAATTGGAGCTTGGAAAATGGCCTAGGAAGTTCAAGCCCTTGCTGCCTAAGCCTGAAGATCTGAGTTCGACCCCCAGAGTGCACGCACAGTGAAGCGACACTGGTTTCTGAATGTAGTTCTTTTTTTTTATTTAAATTTATTTATTTATTAAGGATTTCTGCCTCATCCCCACAACCGCTTCCCATTTCCCTCCCCCTCCCCCGATCAAGTCCCCCTCCCTCATCTGCTCGAAGAGCAATCAGGGTTCCCTGACCTGTGGGAAGCCCAAGGACTGCCCACCTCTATCCAGGTCTCGTAAGGTGAGCATCCAAACTGCCTAGGCTCCCACAAAGCCAGTACGTGCAGTAGGATCAAAAACCCACTGCAATTGTTCTTGAATTCTCAGGGGATTCGTATTGGAAAGGAAGAAGTTAAGCTTTCGTTATTTGCAGATGATATGATAGTGTACATAAGCGACCCCAAAAATTCTACCAAAGAACTCCTACAGCTGATAAACACCTTTAGTAATGTGGCAGGATACAAGATCAACTCCAAAAAATCAGTTGCCTTCCTATACACTAAGGATAAGGAAGCAGAGAGGGAAATCAGAGAAGCATCACCTTTCAAGATAGCCACAAATAGCATAAAATATCTTGGGGTAACCCTGACCAAGGAAGTGAAAGATCTACTTGACAAGAACTATAAGTCTTTGAAGAAAGAAATTGAAGAAGACACCTGAATGTAGTTCTCTGGCCTCTACATATATGAATAGCTCCTTACAAACACACCTCTTATGCAAACTCACACAAGGAAAAAAAAAAAAGACTAAAGGCTAATGACCTGAAACATCCAGGTGAGCAGAGAAACTTCTGACAGAAAACTTTACACCCTGATATCTGCAGACAGTTAGGAGCTGGGAAACTTTTGACAAGGAACATAACATACAAGTAAGAAGTTAAGGTAGAATTTATAGCTTGGGGATGCAGGAAACAGACTAGCAGCTGGTATTTTCCACTCAAAAGCTCCCTTCTCTGACCTGTAAGACCCTCAAGCCTCCTTCACCTCGGTGCAGTTTCTTTCCCCATGGAGAAAATGCCTGCTCTTCATTCCTCTAATAAAAGACAATTTGCCTCTGTAGAGATTAATCCCCCAATTAATTTTGGTGTTTTGAGACAGGGTCTCTTTATGTGTCTCTGGCTGTCCTGAAACTCACTATGTAGACCAGGATGACCTCAAATCACAGAGATTTCCCTGCCTCTTCCTCTGGAGTACTAGGTTTAAAGGTCTGTGGAATTATGCCTGGCATCTCTTTGTTTTATTTTCAACTTCCCTTATTGAATGTCCATCTAAGAACAAAAATAATGTTATAAAGAAAAATTAAAAACAAATTAAACTACTCTAAAATTGTTTCTATTATTTTTTTTCTGACCCATATATTATATGCCAGCATATTGTTTAGTTTTCAGCTATCAGAGGACTTTTAGAGTAATTTCCTTTGCTGGTAAAAAAAAAGTTTGTTCATTATATATGTACTCATTTGCTTAAGCTTAAAATTTGCAGAAAATAGCTCACAGAATTCCTATTGCATCTTCTGTGGAAAAGAACTCCACACACTAGAATTCAGTACTGCCCTACTTTCCTGTTTGTTGCTGTAACAAATATCCCGACGAAAGGTGCTTTATTTGGATCACAATTCTAATTAGTTGATCATTTCTGAGATATCAAGGCAGGAAGTCCCATCACATCAGTAATCAAGCTCAGAGAAAGGATAAGTGCACCCTCGCTCGACTGCCCTGCTCTCGGTAGGTTTTCTCTTCTGTTTTCTAGGATGCCTTGCCTAGGGAATGGTGCCACCCACCAGGGACCTGGTCTTCCTACATTAGTTTGCAATCAAGACCCACACTGGCAAACCTGATGTAGATAGTTCCTCATTAAGATTCCCTACCCAGGTGATTGTAGGTGTTAAGACTTAAAACTGACCATTACAAACCGATATTTACTTTTTCTTTAGAATGAAGCTCTTACCACTGAAATTCTATATTTAAGGATGACTTGGGTTCATTTCATTCTGCCCATTTTAGTGAGGAGAATCTTTCTCTTGAGATATGTTTTTTCTCACTGTTTCTATTTGCTTTCACTTTTGTAGTGTTTTCTTGATTCCCTAAGATGTTTAAGAAAAATTTGTCCATCTGTTTATTTACGTGTTCTTTTAAAAATTACAAATATATCTGTGTATATGCATGCATATGCATACACACATACAAATGTGCCACGGTGTGCCTGTGGAAATCAGAGGACAACTTACAGGAGTTAATTTTCTCCTTTTACCATGAGTCCTGGGAATCAAACATAGGTCATCGGGCTTGGTAATAAGCATCTTTAGTCTGCAAGCCATCTGGACATCCACCATGCTGATTCTACTTATTTATTACTCAGTACTGGCAAGTGCACACATGTAAAAGTCAGAAAACAACTTGCATGAATCAGTTCTTCTACCACGTGAGTTATGGGCTTTGAACTCAGGTCATCAGCCATGGAATCCAAAGTCCCGATCTAATGAGCATTCTACCCCAGGATCCAGCAATACCACTCTTGGGAATATACCCAAGAGATGCCCTATCATACTACAAAAGCATTTGTTCAACTATGTTCATAGCAGCATTATTTGTAAGAGCCAGAACCTGGAAACAACCTAGATGCCCTTCAATGGAAGAATGGATAAAGAAAGTGTGGAATATATACACATTAGAGTACTACTCAGCAGTAAAAAACAACGACATCTTGAATTTTGCAGGCAAATGGATGGAAATAGAAAACACTATCCTGAGTGAGGTAACCCAGACCCAAAAAGATGAACATGAGATGTACTCACTCATAATTGGTTTCTAGCCATAAATAAAGGACATTGAGCCTCTAATTTGTGATCCTAGAGAAGTTAAATAAGAAGGTGAACCCAAAGAAAAACATATAGTTATCCTCCTGGATATTGGGAGTAGACAAGATTGCCAGGCAAAAATTGGGAACTTAGGGGTGGGTGTAGGATGGGGGTAAGGGGAGATGGGGAGAGAAAAGTGAGAAGGGAAGGATGGGGAGAGCTTGGGGGAATGGGATGGTTGGCTTTACTTGTAATGGGAACATTACAGTGAATGTTCTCTGCTCTAGAAGACTTGGTTTGGTTCCAAACTTACAGCTGAGAAGAATCTACAATATAGAAAACAAAGCTGATTTTTTTTCTTCTGAAGGAAATACATTTTAAAAGTATGTAGTTTGAACTTACAAGCTCAACATTTCATATTTCAGAAAAAAATCCAATCCAAAGTAAAAAAAATTACTCTTATTTTCTCTACAACTTTAAGAAAGTCAAAATTTTATCTCCAAGACTGCTCACCTGAAAAAGTAACAGGTATCAAAGTAGAGAGCATCAGAGAGAGTGTGATCACGTGGTACAAGCAGACGCTTCTTCTCATGTCTTCTGCGGTGAAGACTAAGAAAATGCCCGTTAGTTTATTCCCAGTCTACGGTACAGATAACTTTTTAACGTGAGAAAACTCAGTGCCCTTGGAGATGCTGTGTCAAGACAAAGCTGGCCATGGTAGTCTCACACAGGCTCCAGGCATGTAGACATGAGAGAGTCTCTTTGCTTAGAGAATGACAGGAGAACTATACCAACAATTCCCTCTACCAACCCTACTGTGTGTCTAAAATAGAGATTAGGCTCAAGACTTTACAAGTCTATATCATCCACTTAGGCCCATATTCGTTCTATTTCTTCTCAAAATTGTAGGCAATGGGACATAAAGAACTGAACTGAGAGAGACCCACAATGAGTGAACCTTTTCTATTTTCACATGCAAAGAAAATAAAAGGAAGATGAAAGCAAAATAAACCAACCAAGCCATGACAACCATAGAATGGAAAGGGAATCTGAGATACGGGGAAACACGAAATATCACCACTAATTTTGACTAAGGAGAGAGGAGACAAAAAGAAGTTACCTGAATGAACTTTCTGTTGTCAGCTTGAAGTTACAGCTAGCGTTAAAAAGAACTGACTAGGGGCCTGCAAAGCCATAGAGGTGGGTCGCCTGCTCAGTTGAGTGACCACTAACTTGGCATGAGTTTATTCTCTTGGCTGTTTTCTGCGTTTGATCCTCTTTCATGCCACCCCCTCGGATGTTTCATGCTTCAGCAGGCAAGGCCAGGCCTGAAGGAGCTGAGTGAGTTTTAGTTATGAAACACAGGAAATAAAAGCATCCTAAATATCTAATGTTTGCAAAGTAGATTAACGACCTGTTGCATTCCAGGCTGTTTGGTAAATGTTCTCGCCAAACCACAGCCTGTTTTCAGCCTTCCCACATTCCTCTGTCTTTACTTTTTAGAAGACTTACCTGTTTATATTCAAGCTTTGTTTTTTTCCCTTTTTCTGCTAACCTAGGAAACCCTAAGAGTCTTCTAATCAGTATTATTTCTGGTGCTACTCTCCCAATTTCTGCATCTGTTGCTCCTGACTATACCTCAAGATATGCAATTCAGAAAAGTGACCTTTATCTGAAAATAAAAATCACCATATACTTTAAGCTTTTCTAGTGTCATTAGAACTTTTTGTTGTTTTATATCTTGGATGTATTGAAGTAACAGGCCCTTACATAGATAGTTCCTAGATGGGTCCATCAATATTTTGAAATCTTGCTATGTTTCCTTCTGTCCTTCTTCTAAGTTGGAGTAAATTCAACTCTGATTTCTTTCAGACCTGGTGGTGTTAGATAGAAAATAATCTACACACTATAACTCAACAATCCCACTTTGATAAAGATTCCCTAGGAAACCTCTCATTTAATGTGATATTGCTGTTATGCTGCTTAACACACTCCATTTTCTTTCTTTTCTCCCTAAATGCACTGTTCTGAGGAGAAATGTCACCTTTTATTCCTGAATGAATAAACAAACACAAGGACACATGATCTACAGCTCTACTCCTTTCCCATCAAATTCTGGAAATCAGGTCAATGAGTTTTTCCTTCTATTTCCATCACTCACCTTATACTGCTTAGCATGGGGAACTGCTATTTCATTGCTCCCCCTCTCTCTTTCTATCTTTCTATAAGTTCTTTGTGAGTATTACACGTCATACAATATGTTTTGATCATATTTGCCTTCCTTTTACTAACTCTTCTTAAATCCACCGCATTTTTTTTCCCATCCAGCTTTGTGTCTATGTTTTTAACCCTTCAGGACAAAGTTCTGCCATCCAAATACTCCTGGATATGTGGCCTTCCCCTGAAGCATGGTTAATTTACCAGGCACTACCTACACTCTTAGGAAAGAATCTATTTCTCCCTCTCCCAACTGTTAACAATTCCCGTTTGCTCTGTGGCTAAGGGTGGGATTGTGTGCCCAGCTCCCTCTCCACGCTGGCATTTGGTGTGGTGTGGGCTTGCACAGTTATTATGCATGCTCTCACAGTTCCTGTGAGTTCATATGTGAGCAGCCCTGTGGTGTCCAAAAACATGTTTCCTTTTCATCATCCATCACCTCTTTCTACAGGGCTGAAAATTCTAAAGCCTCTTCTTTATTCTTTCTACATTGACCTTTTGGGTCTCTGTGTTAATACCATCTTCTGAAAACACAAGTTTCTCAGATGAATGTTAAGAGATCCAATGAAGTATGGCTATAATGTATCATTAGGAGTAAGTTTAATACTTTGTCCATTTGGCAGTATCATAGTACCAGGTTCTCTCATAAGGCCTGCAACTGTCTAGACCTAGGTTTTTGTCCACATATGTGTGCCACATGTGGGTTTTATCTTGTGGAGTGTGACTTAAACCCAATTAGAAAATGGTTGGTTACTCCTATGATGCTCCTGCCACTATTGCACCAGAGGTCATGTCTTGTCAAATCTTATTCATTGTTGTACCCAACAGGGCTTAAAGCAGGGCATGAGTGATGACTACTTCTCTACTCTGGTAGGTTATGTAGCTCTTAACAACACTACTACTAAAGCTTCCAGGATATGAAGCTTCCAGGTCTGTACCAGATTTATTTTACCATGAGCTCATGATTCATAGGTGCTATCTTCAACAATAAGTTCTTACTGTCATGTTCTGAAGGGTAACCAAGAGCAATTGAAATAGCGTGTAATGTCTTTTTGGAAAGTGGTCTGTAGGACCTCATTGACCAAAACAAGCAACTCCAGCAACTCCAAAACAAGTAATCCATTCCTGGAACAAGGTTTTCTTTTCTCTTTCTCTCTTTTTTTATTTAATTAATTTTTTTCATTTTACCTTTCAGCCCCAGTTCCCCCTCCCTCCCCTTCTCTCGCCTCCCCACCTCCCCTAGTCTCTGCCCTCATCCACTCCTCAGAGGGGATAAGGCCTCCCATGAGATGTCACCAAAATCTGGAATACCAAGTTGAGGCAGGAACAAGCACTGCCCTGCAAATCGGGTTGGGCAAAGTATCCAATCATAGGCAATGGGCTTCAAAAAGCCAGTTCATGCACCCGCCATAAGTCTTGGTACCACTACCAAAGGCCCCACAGACAGACCAAGCCATATAACTATCACCCACATTCAGAGGGCCTAGGGACTAGGCTTTTTAAATGTTAGCCTCAGTTGTTGCAAGTTTCCATATGTCTTTTGGAAAGAACTTTAGTGCTACTTATCTCTCACCCCACTCCCTCCTCTATCCCACCCTCTGCTCTGGGTATTCCTAATCATTCTTATTTCATTATTTATTTATTTATTTTTTACCGTTAATAACAGTGACCTCTAACTCCCCTATCTTGAAAGTCTCTCCCATGACCCCTTAGTAATTCCCTGAATTCCATGGGTATTCTAAATCAAACAAACATATATGAAGATTCAAAGATTGCATCATCAGATGAGAGAAAACATGGAATGTTTGTCTTCTTGGGTCTGAGTTTCCTCACTCAGAATGATTGCTTCCAAACCCATCCACTTACCTATAAATTCCATGATTTATTTTTCATAGTTGAATAATATGCCATTGTGTAAAAACATCACATTCTCATTGTCCATTCAGAAGTTAATGGACATTTAGACTGTTAGACTCTTTTCATTTACTGGCTATCATGAGTAGAGAAGCAATGAGTATAGATGAACAGGTATTTTTGTAGTAGAATGTGAAGCTCTTTGGGTATATACCCAAGAGAAGAATAGCTGCATAATGTGATAGACCTAATTGTTTCTTTTTGAGAAACCACTACATTGGTTTTCATAATGGTTGCACCAGTTTGCTTTCCCACCAGCAGTGAATACATAGTCCCCTTTCCTGGCATTCACACCAAATCTGTTATTGTTTGTAGCTTTGACCTTAGCCTTTATTACTGGGATGAGAAAGAATCTCAAAGTAATTTTAATTTGCATTTCCCTAGTTGCTAAGGATGATGAACCTTTTAAAAGTGTTTTTCAATTATTTATGTTTCATCTTTTGAGGAGTCACTGTCCTCAAAATTGTGTTGCTTATTCTCTCTCTGTCTCTCTCTCTCTCTCTCTCTCTCTGTCTCTCTCTCTCTCTCTGTCTGTCTCTCTCTGTCTCTCTCTCTCTGTCTGTCTCTCTCTGTCTCTCTCTCTCTCTGTCTGTCTCTCTCTCTCTCCGTCTGTCTCTCTCTGTCTCTCTCTGTCTCTCTCTCTCTGTCTGTCTCTCTCTGTCTCTCTCTGTCTCTCTCTCTCTGTCTGTCTCTCTCTGTCTCTCTCTCTGTCTCTCTCTCTCTGTCTCTCTCTCTCTCTGTCTGTCTCTCTCTCTCTGTCTGTCTCTCTGTCTGTCTCTCTCTCTCTCTCTGTCTGTCTCTCTCTCTCTGTCTGTCTCTGTCTCTCTCTCTCTCTGTCTCTCTCTGTCTCTCTCTGTCTGTCTGTCTCTCTCTGTCTCTCTCTCTCTGTCTCTCTCTGTCTCTCTCTGTCTCTCTCTCTCTGTCTCTCTCTCTCTCTGTCTCTCTCTGTCTGTCTCTCCCTGTCTCACTCTCTCTCTGTCTCTCTCTCTCTGTCTCTCTCTGTCTCTCTCTCTCTGTCTCTCTCTCTCTGTCTCTCTCTATCTCTCTCTCTCTGTCTCTCTCTGTCTCTCTCTGTCTCTCTCTCTCTCTGTCTCTCTCTCTCTCTCTCTCTCTCTCTCATCTTTATATATTCTAGATTATAACCTTTTGTCAAGCTCTTACCTGGTAAAGGTTTTTTTTTTCCCATTCTCTAGATGGCCTCCCTATTGGGTCAATGGTGTTCTTTGAAATACAGATTTTTATTTTTATTAGGTCCCATTTATCAGTTGTTGGTATTAATGGCTGTACTTCTTAGGGTCCTTTACAGAGAATCCCTTCTTCCTATAAGATCAAGAATAGTCCCTATGTTTTTCCTCTATCAGGTTTAGGGTATCAGGTCTTATGGTGATGTCTTTGATCCAGTTGGAGCTGAGTGTTTGTGCAGGGTGAGAGATAGCAAAAGGGTTTCATTCTTTTGCACGTAGCTTACACAGCCAGAG